GAGAGAGAAAAGGGAAGAAATCGCGGGAGGGAAAGGAAACAAAGGGAATCCGTGCAAACTGCTTTAAACTGCATCTCTCACCCAAGGCTGACCAGGAGGGAATGGCAACCGAAGGGAATCCATGCAAACTGCTTTAAACTACATCTCTCACCCAAGACTGACCAGGAGGGAATGGCAACCGAGGGGAATCCATCCACACTGGTTTGAAAAGCTGAATAATTTCCAACTCACTTACTGATTCGTAAGAGAAATGGCGGAAAAAGATTCAGAAGGGCAAAGGGACTTCTGGTTTCCTTAAAAACTTCGAAATCGCTTCAGAAAGGAAATCTTTCCAAATTTATTCCAAATTATGAAGATTCTGACCGAACCTAACCATGCCTAATAGATACAATGTGATGTGCATTTTGGCTCTATTGTTCGTAATACACCTGCAATACGTTTTGCCTACACAATATTTGAATAACAGAGGAAGAACATTTGCCCATGAGTACTGAGTCTATGTGACTGTGATCAACAAAAACATAAGTGCCTCCATTTTAATCTCTGAAATTTTGCCCTATAGCAGTGGTTCTCAACCTGGGGTCCCCAAATGTTTTTGGCCTTCAACTCCCAGAAATCCTAACAGCTGGTAAACTGGCTGGGATTTCTGGGAGTTGTAGGCCAAAACACCTGAGGACCCACAGGTTGAGAACCACTGCCCTATAGAGTTTCTCTACTCAGTTCCGAAGTACAATAAGTCCTACTAAAGCCATTGACAACTGAGACTAGACCTGACAGACACTCCAATGCTGATGTGACAATCCAAAGCCTGTCACGACGCAACGAGATGGGGCGTTCGGGTGCGATCGTATCTATCGCCCTGGACATCTCCCTATTGTAGAGAGTCACCAAGGCGTCAATAGAATCGCCAGGCTCCAAGGCAGGAAGAACCCCAAGATTCCTCAGGAATCCATCCGGATCCATCAGTCTCCTAGGGCGGACCATTTTAATCTGTCCTCCACCCCTGCGGAGGTTAAGAGTCGCAGCAAGTCTAAAACTGATCAGATAATGATCAGACCATGACACCGGAAGGATGTTTTGATCTTCCACTCTAATCATTTCGTTGTCCGCCACGAAAACAAGGTCAAGAGTATGTCCAGCTTGATGAGTGGGACCAGATATTATTTGTGACAGTCCTATGGTCGTCATGGTGGCCATAAAGTCCTGAGCTGCGCCAGACAGGGTGGTCTCAGCGTGGATGTTAAAATCTCCCAGCACCACCAAGCGCTGGGAAACCAAGGCCGAATTAGAGACCACCTCCGCTAGCTCAGACAGGGAAGCTGCTGGGTCGCGGGGTGGGCGGTACACCAGCAGGAACCCCACACTGTCACGGCTCCCCACCTTCAGGTGGACACACTCAAATCCGGGGGCCTGCGGAACAGCGCATCTGATCACGGCGATGGATTGCCGAAAGACTACTGCGACCCCTCCTCCCCGCCCCCCTTGTCTGGCCTGCTGATGTACTCCGAAACCTGGTGGACATAACTGAGTGAGATTTACTCCCCCCAGCTCGTCCAGCCAGGTCTCGGTGATGCATGCCAGATCCGCCCTCTCATCCAGGATCAAGTCCTGGATGGCCGCGGTCTTACCATTAACAGATCTGGCATTAATCAGCAGGACCTTAAGACCAAGGGGACTGCCATGGAGCCTACCACTTCCCACCTTCTCCAGGGTCGCAAGAACTCTGTATCTGAGGGTCCACAACTACCCTTCTAATGGTGATGCCCCATTTCTTTAAGCCTGAACGCTTTGCCATTAGCTCGCCCAGCCATGAGTTGTCTTCTGGTGTTATTTGAAGACGGGTGGAGCGGTCAGATGATTGATAGTCCCTCCACAACCACACTATGGCTTCTAGTCTTATTTCCTGTGATCTTTTACCCAGGATTTGGGCCAAGGAGTTACAAACTGCCCTCTTAGAGGTCCATCTGCCTCTGTTTACCATTAGGTCCGCAATGTCCACCGCAAAATTGTCAGTTAGGAGATGTTGGTCCTGGGTGCAAGCTGCAGTTGGCTGAACCAAAAGATCTGATGTTGTATTGTCGATCGTCCTCTGAGCGGCCATAACAGTCCGCTGCCACTCCAAAATGTTCTCATTCCTATATATGCCCCGAGATTCTCCCCTTCCCTCAGTCAACTCATCATTCATTCCTCCTTCCACCCCGTAATCCCCATGATCCGAAGTGCCTTTTTCCCCATTTTGGCACAAGTCCTTGGCCGGATCTGCACGCAAAAGGTTATCAGTCTTTGGGGGATTGGATTGCACTGGAATTCCTGAGAAAGAGGCAAAACCTCTAAGGAGGTGGTCCATTTTCTCGTTCAAAAACCTGAGTTGTAACAACACATGATTAAACGATTCCCTCAGGAGGTCGTAAAAGTGCAAAAGATCATTCTTCGCATGAGGCTCTGCTTCACCCATTCCTATGTCTAAGAGGTAGCTCTCACAACACTCGTATCTAAACACTCCCACCAGCTTTCACTCACATTCAACTTCCAACACAGTCAGCCACTCCCAGGCACTCCAGAACCCACACCCTCCTCTCTCTCCCACAATTCACTCAACCAACCAACAGTAAACCTGCACTCTCACTCGCTAGTCTAAACACACTCAGCAATCATCCACGCCTTCCTATGAGTCACTTTTTATCACAACCACTAGTCTAAACACACCCAGCTACCATCCACACCTTCCTATATGGTCACTTCTTTGTCACAGCCAGTCTCATGCGCTCTCCTGGGCCTCTTCGCTTAACCCACCCCAGCAATCCTATCCTCAACAATCAAATCCTATATATACCTCCTAACACACTCTCAGCAGTTAAGACATACAACGTATAACATAAAACATGCAGCCAAACTATGCTATATCTAAATAACTAAAATAACTAGCCAAAAGAGAAAGTAGGAGGGAAAAAAAGAGCAAGAAAAGAGTCAGATGGCGACAGCAGCAGTTCCTTCTGGTGCAAAATGCTCAAACAGCAGCTTCCTGGAGCTCTTCAGCCCCTTCCCAATGTGACAGGGGTGACGATGGTCGCAGCTAGCTGGTCCACACTTCACTCCTCCCAGATGACAGGGGAGGGGGCGATGGCGGCGAGGCTGGAATTCTCTCTGCGGCCCCTTCCCGATGGTGAGGGGGGGCGATGGCGATGCGGCCAATGCACTTTCCACGGCCCCTTCCCGATGGGCGGAGGGGCCGGATAGGCCGCGGCTTGCCAGCTCTCTTCACCCCTCCCGGATGGCAGGGGAGGGGGCAGTGGCAACACGGTCCAGCACTCTTCCGCGGCCCCTTCCTGATGTTAAAAGGGGCCAGGTACGCTGCGGCTTGCCGGCTCTTCTTCGCCCTCTCCCAGATGACAAGGGGGGAGGGGGTGGCGGCGTGGCCTAGTGGTTCTCCGCGGCCCTTCCTGATGATCGGAGGGCCGAGACAGGGCACGGCTTGCTCGCTCCTCTTCACCCCCCTGGGTGACAAAGGGGGGCGGTAACYGCACGGCCTGGCTGTTTCCCACYGTCCCTTCCCGCTGGTCGGAAGGGCCGGATGGAGGCCGGATGGACGGCGGCTTGACGGCTCCTCCTCYCCCCTTCCCAGATGGTAACAATGGCGCGGCCTAGCGCTCTCTCACGGCCCTTTCCCGGTGCGGCGAAAGGGCCGGAGGAAGGAGCCTCGATCGYTTGGCTCTCACTCTRCGCCCCTCCCGGTTGGCAGTGGGGGGCAGAAAATAGCYCGGCCRGGCGCTCTCTCAACGGCCCTTCCCGGAGCGGCGAAGGGCCGGAGGAAGGAGCTGCGATCGATTGAGGGCGAAAAATGGCATGGGCTGGCGCTTGGGCCCGATCGGCTCACTGCTTACCTGGCTCTGCCAGATGGAGTCCCGGCCGGGTGAGGGAGTTCCGCAGCTAGGAGCTAGTTGGTGATCAGCTCCTAGATCACTCCCGGATCGCCGATGCCGGCCCCGTTCACCTTCTTCCAAGATGTCGGCTGGAGGTCGGGTTTGCAGCCACGCCGCAGCTGGAAGCGGCAGAATTAAGGTCCCCACCGTCAACTCACTTATCAGGGCCTCCCTGGGGTCTCCACAAGTTCCTCGGTGGGGTTTGTCTGGTGGAGAAAAGTCTGATCGGGAGGTCAGGGGGGGAGAGTTTTAATCTCCCTTGGGAGCGGACACAGGAAGGTGCTGCTCCTGCGCCATCTTGGAAAAAAAAAAGGAGACTGATGGATCCGGATGGATTCCTGAGGAATCTTGGGGTTCTTCCTGCCTTGGAGCCTGGCGATTCTATCGACGCCTTGGTGACTCTCTACAATAGGGAGATGTCCAGGGCGATAGATACGATCGCACCCGAACGCCTCATCTCGTTGCGTCGTGACAGGCCATCTCCCTGGTTCACCGGGGAGCTGACTGTGATGAAGCATACGAGAAGGGGGCTAGAGCGCAAATGGAGGAAATCTCGGGACGTCTCTGATCGAGCACGGGCTAAAGCCTCTCTTAAGGCATACTCCGTGGCTATACGGGTGGCCAGAAGATCATTCACGACCACCCGTATAGCGTCTGCAGCAAATAGATCATCGGAGCTGTTTCGGGTCGTGGGGGAACTCCTCCACCCACCTGTGGTGGAGGAGGTCACTGATGACCCAGCAGCTCGGTGTTGCGATTTCGCACACCATTTTGCAGGTAAAGTCGCCCAGATACGCCTTGAGCTCGACTCCAATTTCATCGCAGTGCCAGAAGAGGTGACGGAGGCATCTGCTTGTCCAACTTTGTGGGATTCTTTTAGGCTTGTTCTTCCTGAAACCGTGGAGGAGATTCTTGGGGCTGTGAGGGCGACCACCTCATCTCTAGACCCGTGCCCATCTTGGCTCATTAAATCAGCCAGGGAGGGGCTGGTTGATTGGTTTGTATTGATTATCAACGCATCGTTGGAGCAAGGGATTTTTCCATCTAATTTGAAACAGGCTGTGGTTCGTCCACTCCTCAAAAAGGTTTCCCTTGACTCCACGGTGCTGAGCAATTACAGGCCAATCGCCAACCTCCCTTTTTTGGGTAAGGTGCTGGAGCGGGTGGTCGCCTCCCAGCTCCAGAGCTTCTTAGACGATACCAACTACCTAGATCAGTCACAGTCTGGTTTCAGACCTGGTCATGGCACCGAGACAGCCTTGGTCGCCTTGGTGGATGACCTCTGCAGAGAGCTGGACAGGGGGAGTGTGACTCTGCTGGTTCTCTTGGACATCTCAGCGGCTTTCGATACCATCGATCATGGTATCCTTCTGGGTCGTCTCTCTGGGATGGGTCTTGGGGGCACGGTTTTGTCGTGGCTCCGGTCCTTCCTGGAGGGTCGATCCCAGATGGTGAAGCTGGGAGACGCCTGCTCGGACCCCTGGCCTTTGACCTGTGGGGTCCCGCAAGGCTCTATTTTGTCCCCATGCTTTTCAACATCTACATGAAACCGCTGGGAGAGGTCATCCGGAGTTTTGGAGTTGGGTGCCATCTTTATGCAGATGACGCACAACTCTACTACTCCTTTCCACCTAATTCTAAGGAGGCCTCTCGGGTGCTGGACGAGTGCCTGGCCGCTGTGTCGATCTGGATGAGGAGGAACAAGCTGAAGATCAATCCTGACAAGACAGAGGTCCTCCTGGTCGATCGTAAACCGGATCGGGGTATAGGGTGGCTACCTGTGTTGGACGGGGTTACACTCCCCCTGAAGCCACAGGTCCGCAGTTTGGGTGTCCTCCTGGATTCTTCGCTCACACTTGAGGCTCAGGTGTCGGCGGTATCCGGGAGGGCCTTTGCACAATTGAGACTTGTGCTCCAGCTGCGACCATACCTCGCGAAGGCTGATCTGGCCGGGGTGGTCCATGCCTTGGTCACCTCTAGAATGGATTACTGCAATGCGCTCTACGTGGGGCTGCCCTTGAAGACGGCTCGGAAACTTCAATTGGTCCAGCGGGCAGCAGCCAGGATGCTAACTGGGGCTCATTATCAAGAGAGGTCTACCCCTCTGTTTAAGGAGCTCCATTGGCTGCCATTTATTTTCCGAGCCCAATTCAAGGTGCAGGTGCTCACCTACAAAGCCCTGAACGGTTTGGGACCACCCTACCTGCGTGACCGCATCTCCATCTACGAACCCACACGCTCACTCTGGTCATCTGGGGAGGCCCTGCTCGTGATCCCACCCACGTCGCAAGCGAGCTTGGTGGGGACACGGGACAGGGCCTTTTCTGTGGCGGGCCCCCGACTTTGGAACGTCCTCCCAAAAGATCTTCAACAGGCCCCTACTTTGGCATTTCAGAAGGAACCTAAAAACCTGGCTGTTCCGATGTGCCTTCTCAGATTAGGAATCCCCATCCCAAGTCCTAGAAGCACTTTAGTACAATCAATGTTTGCTGCACACCACACTTTTTTAATCCTACGTTCCTCCTGCCATTTCAGCACTTTTAACCCTGTACCCCATTGCTCTGGCCGGCCCAGTTTTAAAGTGTCCTGATGTATTGTCACTGTTGTTGTTATTCTGCTTAACTATTTTGATTTGCTTTGTTTATTGTTGTGTTATGTTTTTACTGTATTGTGTTCTGAGGCTTCGGCCTATGTAAGCCGCATCGAGTCCTTCGGGAGATGCTAGCGGGGTACAAATAAAGTTAATAATAATAATAAAATAATAATTGTTTGCTGGCATTGGCAGAAAAACCCAAATCGCCCTAAATAATTTTGGATTGTACCTTAACTTTCCTTTCTTTCCCAGCTTGAAAAGGCTGACCTCTCAGCCTGTCTTCTCCCCAATTATGACAAAGCCATGAACATCAAGGTGACAACTCAACATGAACCAAGCAGAGAGAGTTCAAAGGCCTCGTCTTTTGTTGGCTTTGGCCAATCACTCTACAGGTCACACATCGGTCAACATGTATAACGGAGCATAGCCTACACATAATTGTGTGTTTTAAAGATAGGCCTTTGACCCTCCATTCATTTTTTTCTTCGTTTTAATGTTTTTAAATGTTAACTGACCTCCTTGTCACCAAAATACCAGTCTCGACACTTTCACAGAGATCCTTCTTTAATTGATATTTACAGCCAACTTGGGGAATCAAAGGTTCTGCTAAGTGGTGTTAATATCTCTGGAACCAGTAAGGAAAGGGATCTTGACAACTGGACCACCCAATACTTAAAGAGGGAGGTAGGTATTGTATTAATCGCGGTGGGCTTAGCAGCTCAAATGGAACATCTGCTTCTCCAGCAAATCGGCTCAGAGTCAGTTTGTTTAAAAATGAAATAAAGAGTCCATATTGCACTCACCTCCTGCCCTGTAGCAATGTCTATTGCAGTATACACTGTACCCGATGCCCTACAGAGGGGATAAAAAGAAAACCAGGTTATAAGGAGGTTCCACACAATAATACAAAGGCTATATGTAAACAGAACTAAACAGTAGCTGCTTGAATAGCTCTTGTCCATTTTAAGAAGAATTTCAATAAAGAATGGAACGATAAGACTTGTCCTTTCTTAATCTGTTTCAAGTGGACTTGAATAACACAGTCCAAGAGATCTCCCACTTTCGTGGGGGTTAGTGGAACTGGAACTCTACAAAAGTGAAAAAATGTGAATTTAAAAAATCTTGCCAACCAAAAGGTTGACAGTGCAAAGCCCAGGTCTGGGTGAGGTCTTGGCCTTTAGTCCAGCTTCTGCCTACCTAGCACTTGGAAAACAAATGTGAGTAGGTAAACAGGTAGTGCTTAAAAGAGATGATATATATTATATATTTTGTTGTGATGTAACTTTTCTGTTTTTTGTATTTTATTTTGCTGCATTGTATGTTTTGAGCTTGGCCTCCTATTAGCCGCCCCGAGTCCCCTTTGGGGAGATGGTGGCGGGGTATAAATAATAATAATAATAATAATAATTATTATTATTATTATTATTATTATGACAAAAAACACAGTATGTCACAGCAAACAAGATATATATGCTGGATTTCGTATCACAACATCACAAGTCGAACACTTCCCAAGCGTCTAGGACTGTGTGATATTATCATTATTATTATTTGAAACACAACAGGATTTGTCCACAGCAGACACTCTGCTGGCTGTATTATTATTATTATTATTATTATTATTATTATTATTATTATTATTATTAAAGGTGTCCATATGGAAATGCCAGAGAAATGCTGGTGATCAAGGGGGAAATTTACAAACAAAAGTTCTTTGGCACGGCAGATGGAGTGACAACACCCCCAATCGCCGGAACCAAGCACAAGCCTCCAAGATGCCGAAGATGGGAAAAGTCTACATATAACTCTAATCTAAGTACAGTCTTGTCAGTCTATGAACAGCATTGAATGTTTGTCATATGTGATCCACCCTGAGTCCCATTTGGGGTGAGAAGGGTAGACTATAAATATTGTAAATAAATAAATACATACATATGGATGTCAAGGTCCTCTAATGCAATTCTACCTAAAGTTTATTTATTTCGGACATTTGTATCCCGTCCTAGCTCGACCTCTGCAGAGTGACTCGAGGAGGCTAACTTGACTACAGAATCATGCTGGAGGACATAGAGCCTCCTAGAGACGCAACGTCTATGATCGTCCTCCAGCAAAACAATAACAATGTGATGCAGGTTGAGTATCCCTTACTCAAAAAGTTTGGAAACGGGTGTTTGGGATTTATATATGTGGACATAATGAGATATCTTGGAGATGGGATTCCAGTTTAAACATAACATCAATTTAGTCACTTTATAACCTGAAGGTAATTTTATATGATTTTAAAAAAAATAATGGTGTGAATGGAGCAAAGTTGGTGTACAGTAACCTATCAGAAAGCTATCTTAGCCATCCATGGACCATTAGTAAAAAGGTAAAGGTTTTCCCCTGACATGAAGTCCAGCTGTGTTTGACTCTAGGGGCTGGTGCTCATCTCCATTTCTAAGCTGAAGAACTGGCATTGTCCATAGACACCTCCAAGGTCTTGTGGCTGGCATGACTGTATGGAGCGCCGCTACCTTCCTGCTGAAGCAGTACCTATTAATCTACTCACATTTGTTTTCAAACTGCTAGGTTGGCAGAAGCTGGGTCTAACAGCAGGAGCTCACCCCACTCCCTGGATTCAAATGGCCAACCTTTCGTTCAGCAAGTTCGGCAGCTCATCACTTTAACCCTCTGGGCCACCGGGGGCTCCCATTATTATTATTATTATTATTATTATTATTATTATTATTATTATTATTAGTGGTCAGTTGAAACATTCACACCTAACTCCAGCAGACAAGAGTCCTTTGTCCCACCCTGCTCATTCCACAGATATACAAACCCTTTTCCTAGTTCCAACAGACCTCACTACCTCTGAGGATGCTTGCCATAGATGCAGGCGAAACATCAGGAGAGAATGCCTCTAGACCATGGCCATATAGCCCGAAAAAACCTAAAACAACCCAGTGATTCTGGCCATGAAAGCCTTTGACAATACATCATCATCATCATCATCATTATTATTATTTCTATACCCCACTTTTTCTCTACCAAAGGAGACTTACTTTGGACTTTGGGATATTTTGACACTTCAGATAAGAAAACCTCAACATGAAACATTACAGTAAATACTACGCATTCCTTGCCCTGTGTTCCATCCAAAATCACAGCTACCTAAGCAGCAACCTCATTCTCCTTAACGGCAGCAGAGCCAACCATGTTGAAACTATTAAGGATAATTTTGATATGAGATCCCTCTACATGAATGTCAATTAATTTGAAGGAAGGATTTCCTGTGCATTTGAATTTTCTAGTTGTTTAGTATAAACTGGATCCTTTGGTTTCACATACGCATTGCTATGGATCGTTCCACTACAAATGCAAATGCCTTTTCTGTGACTAATAGGGAAGATTAATCCAATTTGTTTACATAACCATTTTTAATTCCGTTCTTTCATGGCCGTCGGTGCAGAAGTACAGCCCCAAAGAGCGCGGAGCTTTTCTGTGTCAGTGTTGTGATTTGGAAAACCTGTTTGCACACAGATGTCAATTTCAGGGTCTAGAAAGAGGATCGGTAACCAAGCTGGAAATCTTTCGAGAAGGGAGCAATAGCCGAGTCATATTGCCCCCAGGAAAATATATTTTTGACAAGGAGCGGGTCAAAAGACTATCTCACAATCGAGACAGAGCGAGCATCTTTGGGCCATACTCACCCTTGGCCAATTTTTTCAAACCGTGTGTATTTCTTCTTTGGGTCCCCGACACTCACAATGCTTCCTAGAAAGAACAAGAAAGGCAGATCTTGCATGAAAAATAGATCCACTTAGGTTGTTTCCAGTGATAACAAGGAACAATTAGAGGCATATATTGGGCAACGAAGATGTGTTCCTGGGCATTGTGGTCATTCCTCCATATTATAATCAACTTTTGTGGAGTTGATTATTCACGGATTTGATTAAAAATGTTCTCCATAGGAATCTCTCAGTCCTCCACTGTAACTCTATACTTATTTATTTATTTATTTATTTACTAGCTGTCCCCTGCCATGTGTTGCTGTGGCCCAGTCTGGTGATCTGGAAAATAAGGTACAGTAATGAGAAAGTGTTGGTTTCTGATATATGTAATTTCTTTATGCAAGAGTATTTCTTCCTGCTTCTTTGTCTGGTTTGCTTACTCTGAAACATGTAACATATAATTGTCCTTCTTTAGGCGTCCCTTTCAAATCTATGATACTATATCTGTGTGTGTGAATCATATCTATCTATCGATATCTATGGCTGGATGGCTCTTTGTCAGGAGGGCTTTGATTACGTTTTCTTGCCCTGGTGAAGGGAGCTGGACTGGATGACCTTAAGTATTTTCTGTTGGTCATGGGGGTTCTGTGTGGGAAGTTTGCCCCAATTCTGTCGTTGGTGGGGTTCAGAATGCTCTTTGATTGTAGGTGAACTATAAATCCCAGCAACTGCAACTCCCAAATGTCAAAGTCTATTTTCTCCAAATTCCATCTGTGTTCATATTTGGGCATATGGAATATTCGTGCCAAGTTTGGTCCAGATCCATCATTCTTTGAGTCCACAGTGCTTTCTGGATGTAGGTGAACTGCAATGCCCAAACTCAAGGTCAATGCCCACCAAACCCTTCTAGTATTTTGTACTGGTCATAGGAGTCCTATGTGCCACATTTGGTTTAATTCCATCATTGGTGGAGTTCAGAATGCTCTTTGATTGTAGGTGAACTATAAATCCCAGCAACTACAACTCCCAAATGACAAAATCAATTTTTTTTAGTGATAATTACTCCTTGGGTTAGTAGGTGTCTTGTGGTCAAATTTGGCAGCAATTCATCCAGTGGTTCATCCCACAAATGAACAATACATTTTTATTTATATAGATTTACAGTATTTATATTCCATCCGTCTCACTCCGCAGGGGACTCAGGGCAGACTACAATGTACATATACATGGCAAACATTCAATGCCATAGATACACAACATATATGGACAGACACTCAGAGGCTATTTAACATTCCAGCTTTTCTTGAGGGTATTCTGGCCACCAGGAGAGCCGTCCCTTCACCGACCATTTGTGAGACGGATGAAGTACTTCCTCATTCTTTGCATGCTTGCTGGAGATTTTTATGGCCTTGTAAATTAGCTAAATTAGCCTCCCCGCATAAGCGGTACCTAAATTTCCTACTTCACAGATGCAACTGTCTTTCGGGCTGCAAAGGTCGACAGCAAGCTACACAAATTTGTTGGAAGCTCACTCCAACCTGGGCTGGCTTCGAACTCATGACCTTTCAGTCAGTAGTGATCTTAATGCAGCTGACTCCCAGCCAACTGCACCACGGTCAACTTCTTCTATTCATGCTGAAAAACCTAGATGTTTTTAGGAAGACTACCACTCTAGGAAACTCTAGGCCCTCCAATGGGTCATAGAATCATAGAGATGGAAAAGACCTCATGGGTCATCCAATCCAACCCCCTGACAAAAAACAGGAAAATTGCATTCAAAGCACCCCCGACAGATGGCCATCCAGCCTCTGCTGAAAAAGCCTCCAAAGAAGGAGCCTTCACCACACTCCAGGACAGACAGCTCCGCTGCTGAACAGCTCTCACAGTGAGGAAGTTCTTCCTAATGTTCAGGTGAATGATTCCATGGCTAGCTTCCAACCGAAGATCTATAAATTCCTTAAGAAGTGTTCTTCCTAGATGGCAGTTTCTTTATCCATGGGCCCTGTGCCCCAACCCCAGTGAATGTGGATGGATGGCTATACTGCATTATGAGAAGCTTTGGTAAGCCCCAAATGATGAAATCCTTGTTATTGGGGTTGTGGACCAAATTTGGCACAAATACCCAATACACCCAAATTTGAATACTGGTGATTTTGTCATCTGGCAGTTATAGTTCATTTAAATTCAAAGAGCATTCTGAATTCCATCAATGATGCAATTGAACCAGACTTGGCACACATAATTCTCACAACCAACAGAAAATACTGGAAGGGTTTGGTGGGCATTGACCTTGAGTTTGGGATCTGTAGTTCACCTACATCCAGAGAGCACTGTGGACTCAAACAATGATGTGCCTAGTACAAATAATTAGTATGCCCAAATGTGAACACTGAGGGAGTTTGGAGAAAATAGACCTTGACATTTGGGAGTTGCACTTGCTGGAATTTATAGTTCACCTGCAATCAAAGAGCATTCTGAAGCCCACCAATGATACAATTCAGCCAAACTTCCCACACAGAATCCCCATGATCAAAATACTGTGTTTTCTGATGGTATTTGGCGACCCCTTTGACACCCTCTCGCAACCCCCCCCCCCCCAGGGCTCCTGACCCCCAGGTTGAGAAACACTGTGTTAGTGGTTTGCTTGGCACTAAGGAGTAATATTGTGGCTCAGTTAATATTAATTTAGAGGACCTTGGAGTCAAGCAATTCATGGCAGCCGATTTTGGACATGTCCAAGCTGTGCATTAATCAACTCCATGCGCTGAAATGGGGAGAAAAGATATGGAGGAGGATGGCTGGGCAGCAGCTGAGCCTGACAAGTGGTAAGACAGATTAGCTCAAGTCTCCTCCGCTGCTGCGGTGGCCACCTTCTTATCTTTCTCCTGGAAATGTCCTTGAACATGATTCTGGATTCTTTCAGATGTTGTTTTTTTTTCCCAATGACCCACATAGCTTGAAATATTGCAATGAGCAGAAAAGCACAGCAGAGGGCAAGTGAGGCAACCGAGTGGGTTGCAGCGGAACAGCAAAAGGGTAGGCAGTGCAGCAAGGAAATAGCAGATGCTTGGAAATGAAGGGGAACCCGCAGCCCCATGTTGAAAGCCATAATAAGTTCATACAAACAGACCTGAAGATACATATGATAATCTTATCTCATGCCTTACAGATGGCAGTCTCCCAGTTCAACAGCTATAAGATGAACCATAAGAAGAAGACACAGGGTGCATCTACAGGTATGGGCAAACGTGGGCCTTCCAGGTGTTTTGGACTTCAACTCCCAGCATTTCTAACAGCCTCGGGTCCTTTCCTTTTCCCCCTCAGCCGCTTAAGCGGTATGTAATTGTTTAGATTTCTTCTTGAAGGAAGCAATGGATAATGTTGTTGAAGGCTTTCATGGCCAGAATCACTGGGTTGCTGTGAGTTTTCCAGGCTGTATGGCCATGTTCCAGAAGCATCCTCTCCTGACATTTCACCCACTCTGTGTCAGACTACACAGTGAAGCCATTGAAATCCACAAGCATGTGGACAATTTCAACAGAAAGGAGGAAACAACGAGAAACAACAAAATCTGTCTACCAGTATTTAAAAACTCTAAAATCAGGACAGTAAATAAAGAACAACACTCAAAAAACAGGGGAATTCCAGACAAGAATCAATCAGGGCTAGCTATCACCACTCAACAAAGGACCCCCAGGCAGCAACCAGCCAGGCTTAGAAGCTGCAAGACCATTCAATGTCAATCAGTTATATGGACAATTTCATCAGAAAGGGGGAAACCATGAGAATAAAAAAAATCTGGCTTACCAGTATTAAAAAACTCTAAAATCAGGATAGTAAATAAAGAACAACACTCAAATAACAGGGAAATCCAAGACAGGAAACAATCAGGGCCAGCTAACACCTCCCAACAAAGGATTCCCCCGGGCAGGAAGCAACTAGGCTTTGAAGCTGCAAGGCCATTCAATGCTAATCAATCTGGAAAATTGCAACATTCACACTTGCCTTAAACAGACAAGAGATCTTTCTCCCACCCTAGACATTATTCCACAGGTATATAAACCTCACTTGCCTATTTTCCAACAGACCTCACAAACTTTGAAGATGCCTGCCATAGATGTGGGCAAAATGTCAGGAGAGAATGCTTCCATATGCGGTCAATGGTTCCCTTGATGTATGGTAAGAACACCTTTCCTCTGGGTGGATCTTTGTCAGATCCCCCAACTTATGAGGATGCCTGCCATAAATGTTGATGAAATGTCAGGAGATAATGCTTCTGGAACATGGTCATACAGCCCGGAAAACCCACAATAACCAAACAACCAAGCAATAGATAATTTGAGCAATTGTCTTCTTGCAATGAGAAAATCCACTGTTGGAAAACTGTTTCACACATTGGGATGGACTCTGCACAAAATTCATATGGGAAAATGATACGTTCTGCATTCAAAACAATGCTAGATATGATGTTTGAACACAGTTTCCTGTGGATTCCTTTTGAAGGGGCCTGAGGCTGTTAGGAATTGTGGGAGTTGAAGTCCAAAACACATGCAGGGCTGAAGTTTGCCCATGCCTGGGCTTGCCATTTGTGGAACATGCTGTCTGGTTCTATGCAAACAATATATTTACTTCACACCACTCACTTAATTTCTCTAGAATTTCCTCGTCGGTCATCTTGGATTTTTTCCGTTGCCGGTCTGTGTTCCTATACAAAGTGTTTGTGTTGGAGTTCTCAGGCTGCGGGGTGGGGGGCTCCTTCACCGGGGCTGGAGTTGCAACAGGCTCAATGACAGAACGGGTATAAATCTGGAAGACAAAAGCACGAGGGGAGAAATGTCATTGCATTGTGCATTTGGAGCAACCAAACAGCACAGAAATACAGAAAATGTCTTCTACACTTTCCCCAAAAGTGTCCGTTTCTCTCTGAGTCCACATTCGCTGGGCTAGGAATGTAAAACCTTCTTGATACTAACCCTGTGGTTAGTCACAAGGTGTCTCTTTTTGCATTGACAGCATTGAAAAACCAGGCAACATTAATTCCTGCTATTGCAGATAACTGTTCTGGGGATGCTTTTACCTAATCATAGTGTGTTTTGTTTATATCCAATGTGTTTCTTGCTTAAGTTTTAATAATGCTGAATTTTTATTGGTTTTTAACTATGCAAGAGTTAGTTCAGATAGTATTTTATTTTTTAGTATTTTTAAGGGGGCCACAGTGGCACAATGGGTTAAATGGCTGAGTGGCTGAACTTGCTGACCAGAAGTTGATGTATATATCTATGGCTAAGCTACATTGGTTTCAAGCTGACAAATACCTGTATATTTGTACTAGCTGTACCCGCCACGCATTACTGTGGCCAACCTTCCCTCCCTCTTTCTTTCCTTCTTTCACTCCTTCCCGTTTCTTCTTTCCTTCTTTCTTTCTTTCCCTCCTTCCTTCCTTCTCTACCTCTTTCCTTCCTCCCTTTTTCTTTTCCTTCCCTTTCTTTTCCTTCCTTCTCTGCCTCATTCCTTCCTTCCTTTGCATTTTGCTTCCATTCCTCCTTTTGTCTTTCCTTCCTTCCCTCTTTCTCTTTCTTTCTCTTCTCCCTTCGCTCCCTCTTTCCTTCCTTTTCTTTTTTTCTATCCTTCTCTCCTTCCTTCTTTCTCTACCCATTTCTTTCCATCTCTCTTCTTTTCCTCTTCCTCTCCTTTCTTCCTTCTCTACCTCTTTCCTTCCTTCCTTTGCTCTTTGCTTCCATGCTTCCTTCTCTCCTTCCTTCCTTCTTTCTTTCCTTCCTTCTTTTTTCTGTATGTCATTTATCTTTTCGTCATTTATCTTTTGGGGGGTTTTAAGTCCTTTCCACTTTTTTTGGGGGGGGTTATGAGTGATGGACACTCATTGGTCTGTTCGCGTTGCAATGACCAACCTTCCCTCCCTTTCTCTCCTTCCTTCCTTCCCTCTTTCCTTCGTTCCTTCCTTTTTTTAAATTTCCTTCTCTCTTTCCTCCCTCCCTCTCTCCCTCCTTCCCCCCTTTTCTTTATCTTCCTTCTCTCCTTTCTTCCTTCTCTACCTCTTTCTTTCCTCCTTTCCTTTGCTCTTTGCTTCCATCCTTCCTTCTCTCTTTCCTTCTTTCTTTCCTGCCCTCTTTCAATCTTTTCTTCTCTCCCTCTTTCCTTCCTTCCCTTCGCTGCCTCTTGCCTGGGCACTGACAGTAAGGGCGCCTTGCTGTAGCCCTCAGCCTTGCTGGGCGGGCATGGGGCAGGCGGGAGGCACTTTTTGAGGCAGACCTCACTCACCCGCCACTGCCCCTTCTTCTTTCTGCCATGGCTGTTTGGCGGGTGGGCACGCAGGCAAGGTCATATGGAAGGTGCCCTGTGGTTGAGGCAGAAAGAAGGAGCCAATGTGGGTGAGCAAGGCCCACCTCGAAAAATGTCTCCCGCCCCTGCAAGGCTGAGGGTAGCAGAACTCCCTTCTCGTCGGCACCCAGGCAAGGGAAAGTGAAGCCTGGTGAGCAGTGTCCACACGGAGCAGCCACCTGCTTGCCTCTCCAGGGGGAAAAGGAGGAGGAGAGGTCTGTGTTTGGTGGGGATGATAAAGAGAGGAAGGAGACTGGGAGGGAGGGAACGAGGGCCCACCCATGGAAAAGGACTCCATCACGAGACTTCTCTTCCCTCAAAACGGTTGGTGCTTCATTCTTCTTGCACAATGGGGAGAGGGGCTTTTGTGCATGCTCTGTAAGGCATTTTTCTTTCGGGGGAGTTTTAAGTTATTTTCCCTTCATTTTTATGGGGTTTTTTTTGTTTGAAAGACATAGATCGGACTAGAATGTGTTTTGCTGCCAAATTTGGTGTCATTTTGTCCAGTGGTGTTTGAGTTCTGTTAATCCCACAAACGAACATTACATTTTTATTTCTATAGACTCTAAGAGGACTAGATGTATGTTGTATGTTGTGTTTGTACTGTCTGTTTGGATAAGGCCAGCTGGCTAATCACAAGTGTCTAGGACTGCACGATGTATTGGTGAATAATGTGTGCAGATCCCAGTAAGGTGGCCTTCTGCAACTGGCAGATGGTAATTTTGTCAGTGCCGATTGTGTTTAAGTGCAGGCCAAGGTCTTTAGGCACTGCACCCAGTGTACCAATCACAACTGGGACCCCCTTTACTGGCTTGTGCCAGAGTCTTTGCAGTTCCATCTTTAAATCCTCATATCGTGTCAGCTTTCCCAGTTGTTTCTCTTCAATCCTGCTGTCACCTGGGATTGCAACATCCACGATCCATACTTTGTTTTTTAACACGATCATAAGGTCAGGTGTATTGCATTATTATTATTATTATTATTATTATTATTATTATTATTATTATTATTATTTAGTATTATAAGGGTGCAACTCGCCATTGATGTATGTAGCATTTTAATGATTTATATATTATTTTAACTGTGTATTTTGTATTTTATAATCTGGTTTTATGTAATTATTTGTTTGTCCTATATGTAAAAGAGCTATGTTCTATGCATTGAATAAACTGCAAGCTGTGGGATTAAAAAAGGAAATTGTGAGTATAAGACTGGCATATGCCTGAACTTGATGCTAAACAATGCCAGCAATACTACACTGGTCCCAATAAGCAGAAATTAGCATCACAGCTTACCGATTTTGTATGTTCTGGCCGAGGGGCAATAACCGGTGGAGGTTCGTTGTCATCATCCTCTTCTTCATCTTCCTCATCCTCTTCTTCAGAAACAGGGGGGGCGAGTGGGGGTTCCGAGGCTGTTTTTGTGCTCTGTAAGAAAGAGTAGTGGGCACTGCATGAAACCTTAGCAAAATGCAAAAGGTCTAAGCATTGATGAGTGATGCTCAGCTTAAGAGGAGCGCTGTATCTCCCTTCAACCTCCATCTTTCCTCTTTGATTTGCCTTCCATAATCTACCCCCTCAGTTGCATCTCCCATTGCCTCAAAGTCAACACAACACCCTGTTGGAGCATGCAAGGAATCAGTGAATGTATGTGTGACAACTGTAAAATAAGATGCATGAAGCCGATTGGTTGGAGCAGGCTAAGCCTGGGACTTTTGGATACTGTTACATTTTTGTTCAGGTGGTTGGAGCAGGCTGAGCCTGGGACTTTTGGATACTGTTACATTTTTGTTCAGGCTTGAGCTATGCTCGTGTCCAGGGAGAGAAGAAGAGTGAAGCAGAGAGAGACAAAGTTTGGAGTGTGCTCTCACTTCATGAGCTGCAGAAGGAGTTTATCCACATGGACAAAGAAAGACCATTTTAAAGCTCTCATAAAAGGAGTTGATGCAACTGATCACATTGTACATATGTTGTTCTGAACTACGAAGAGTAAACTACTTATTCTTTACTATTTATTTGCATGGCATATTTTCTTTCTCTGGCAAGGCAGTGTGTAGGCTGATCAAATGTGAACTACACGTGGTTTATTTTACATTACGCCACACACCCCACACACAACAAAAGAGCATTCTTCATCAAATGTTCGAGATAGCACCACATGTGCAATGCTTCACAGGGCTTGGGCAACTCAGATTAGGATAGCACCCATGAGTAACTTCTGAGAATGCACTAACAGCTGCTATCATTGGATCTCCATTGGGTCGTCAGCAATGCAAAATTAAGTCATTTCATATTTTTAAAAATGAAAAGGATGTCCCTATTGAATCATTTCACACTGAGCACTAATCTATTTATGAGAACTCAGTGCTGTTATGGCCTTAAGTGTATCTTTGTGGTTTCCAGGATAATTTGGCATGCATTAAATGCAGGCTGCTGTTTCAAAAAGGCTGACAGATTCAACATTTTTCACCAGTTCTAACCAACCCATAGATCGAACTTAAGCTGCAAAAGGTTCAGCTTACCCCTCATGATATGTTTTTATACTCACCGAAGTATGGGCCGCAATATATCCGTGGGCGCTCTTATCTGAAATGTGTAAAAGAACCTGGGTAGTTGGAGGGCACTTTGCAGGAGGAGAATCTGGAGTAATGCTTGACAATATAAGCAGGATGTGCAATCAAGTCATGCAAATGGAACAAAATGGAATGGAGCATTCTTGAAAGGGATATGAATTGATGGATAGATGGCAAGAAAGCTGAGCTCATTGTATCCCCTTCAAGAACGCTCTATTCCATTCCCGTTCTCTTTCCATTTTTCCATTCAACTCCCCCCTCCAGTTCTACAAAGGGTGTTACTCTTGGTTTTAACTCCCTTTTGGGGTTGTTATTTATTGATTTGACCATAGGGCTTCTTCAAGTACCATAATACCAACATCATATATCTCAATAGATTGGTTTTGGGTACAATCTGGTTGGCACTTCCCATTACTTACCCATTAGAAAGAAGTGATGTAGAAGACTCAAAAGGAGACACACCAGATATGTACAAACCCAGGCCCGGGGGCCAGATGTTGCCCCTTGTGCTCTTTTCTCAGGCCCTCCACTCTCTCACACCACCCTATCCTTTCTTTCTCTCTTTCCTTCCTCCTTCCCTCCCTCCTTCCAATTTTCGTCTTTCCTTCCTTCCCTTTCTCCCTCTTTCTCCTTCCTTCCTTCTTTCCTTCCATCCATCCTTCCTACTTCCTTCCCTTTTATTTTTCCTTCCTTCTCTCTTTCCTCCCACCCGCCCACCCCTCTTTCTCCCTCCCTCCATTCCCTTCCACCCTTTCATCCTTCCTTCCTTCCTTCCTTCTCTCTTTCCTTCCTCTTTCCTTTTTTCCTTCCTTCCTTCCATCCTTTGCTTCTACCCATTCGTCCTTCCCTCCCTTTTGTCTTTCCTTCCTTCTCACTTTCCTTCCTCCTTACCTCCCTCCTTTCCCTCACTCTTTATCCCTCCCTCCATTCCCTTCCACCCTTTGTCCTTCCTTTCTTCTCTCTTTCTTCCCTTCCTTCCTGTGGCCAAAATCAAGCATAGCCTCCAAGATGCTGAAGATGGGAAAGCCTAGATATACCTCTAACTATGTACAGATCATTTCTTAATCTGTTTCAAGTGGACCTGCATAACACAGTATAGGAGATCTCTTGTCAGTGTATAAAGGCATTGAATGTTTCCCGTGTTCGGGGTAAGAACGGGTGAGAAGGGCGGAATATGAATACTTTAAATAAATAATAAGTAAATAAATAAAGTTCTAATCAAATCCACAAACCACTGTATCACCTGGTTCTTGGATCTACCCTTTATCCCCAAACGTTGGCCCCGAGAGTGTTTTCTCCACCACCGTTGCCTGCTTACCTCCTGATGTAAAGCTCATGTATTTCTGGTTGTTTACAGTCTCTTTGGAATCGTAGAACTTGAGGACATCCAAAACAGCTTGCGGGTTCTTCTTCTGCTCCAGTTTGGTTATATTGGAGGTTTGCAGTAACCGGGCCCACTGTTCAGGAATGCCCTGCGGAAAGCAAGCAGAACGAATGAGGACGCAGGGCATTTGGTCAGCTTGATCTCATTGTCTGCCAGTACAGTGCCTTCCCCGGAGTCCCATGCTGCCTGTCAGAGACTGTGACCAAAGCCCGACCCTTTAAATCGAGACGTTTGACAGCCAAGGTGATCATTCTCTCACCCTTTCTTAAAACAAAGAGCTAAAATTTGGATTCAACTGAAAACACACAGACACAAAAAGGAGACCCGTCATGACCATGGCAAGAAAAAAAGGTGCATGAAACTCATCCTCAAATCAAGTCTTGCTGATCCATGGAACAATGACGGAAAAGCCTAGCTGGGTTCTCTGGTGCTTCAGTGCAGACATCCAAATGCTATTCTAAACAGAAGGGTTTTTAGGAATTTTACACTGGATATCTGGCGTTGTAACAAGAGGAAATCTCAAGCAATATCAGCTGATCCAACTGAAGTCGAAGCCGCTTCCTAACATATTAATTGGTCTCCAAGGATCCTTCTCCGCAGTTCGGAGGAGGGACCACAATTTTGGGAATCAAAATGCTAATCCGGAATTACATAACACAGCGAGTGCTGTAAAAGATCCCTTCCTGTCTCTTCTATAAGGGGCGTTCATTAAAGATTTCCCCTGACCCACTTCTGTTTATCACAGGATGCTGAAACTGCACATGTGTAAAGACCTAACTCTCTATAGTTTACGTGCCAATTTACAACTCGGAACTGATAACGGTCTTGATTTTAAAGATGCTGAAGTGGTGTGAGGTTTGATAATGGAACCAGTGGAATACAGAGCAGTCCTCAAGTTCCTTTACTTGAAAGGCCACACACCAAAGGAGACGTTCAATGAGATGAAAGAGGTTTATGGTAAGGATTCCCCATCATATGATGGATCAAGAACTGGCAATGTCCATTCAAATGTGTTTGGACTTCAGTGCAAACAGCTCCAATTCCAGGGTGACCTCACTCTGCTATTGATGAACACACCATCCAGCAAGTGGAGGTCGCCATTTTGGAAAATCTTCATGTAACCATTCGCCACCTAGCCCAAAATGTCAAGATTAGTGTGGGCTTCATGGGAAAAATCATCCAAGACCATCTTCACATGCATAAGTTATCTGCTCGCTGGGTCCCCTGATTGCTCACATCTTTCATGAACAGGAATGAGTCGAATGCTCTCAGGTTCTATTGACAATATGCCATGGAAACCAGGAGGACCTTTTCAACAGACTGATTACACAGGATGAAAGCTGGGTCCATCATGATGATCCTGAGACTAAAGTCCATCGATGCAATGGAAGCATCATGATTCCAAAGAGGCACATACCCAACTCCAAAGAAGGCACATGCCCAACTCTCAGCAGGCAAGATCATGCTCACAGTATTTTGGGACCAGAACAGAGTAGTATGGATGGATTTCCTAGCAAAAGGGACCATGATCACTGGAGCATACTATGCTTCACTGCTCCAGAAATTGCGGGAGGCCATCAAAACCAAGAGACATGGCATGTTCACCAAAGATGTCTGCTTTTTGCAAGACAGTGCACCAGTTCACAACTCACATGTTACCCATATGGAAGCATGCTCCTGTGGCTTTGAAATTCTCCTGCATCCCCCTTATTCACTCAGCCTTGCACCATTGGAATTCCCTCTCTTTCCAACAATGAAGTTACAATTGAAGGGCAAGCGTTTTTCAGATGATGAGACTGATTTCCGAAGTCACAGTGTGACTTTTGGAGCAACCTGTCGACTTCTACAAGCAAGGTGTTTACAGTTGCTTAAAAAGATGGGAGAAGTGTGTGTCCCTGGAACTTCATTCTCCAACTTCATCGCTATGATACTTCACCTTGTTGATGGGAAGCTTCCCACTGGAGTGGAAATCATCTATCAGACAGATGACAAGCTGTTTAACCTCAGCAGACTGAAAGCCAAAACCAAAGTTACAACAACATCTGTTCTAAAACTCCAGTATGCTGATGACAATGTCATCTGTGCACATTCAGAAGAAGATCTACAAGCCACTCTAAACACCTTCATGGAAGCATATGAGAAGCTCGACCTGTTATTGAACATCGAGAAAACCAAGTGCTCTTCCAGCAGTCACCAGCCAATCCCTCTCCAGTGCCAGAGATACAGCTTAATGGTGTAACACTAGAAAATGTTGACCTTGGTAGCCACCTCTCATCCAAAGTCAACATCGACACCAAAATACAACACCGCCTGAGCTCTGCGAGTGCAGCATTTTTCCGAATAAAGCAGAGAGTGTTTGAGGACCGAGACATCCATAGGGATACCAAGGTGCTTGTTTATAAAGCTATTGTCCTCCCAAACCTACTATACGCCTGCGAGATGTGGACAGTCTACAGACATCACATGCAACTCCTGGAACGATTCCATCAGTGCTGTCTCCGGAAAATCCTGCAAATGTCTTGGGAAGACAGGCAGACAAACGTCAGCATGCTGGAAGAAGCAAAGACCACCAGCATTGAAGCATGGTCATCCGCCATCAGCTTCGCTGCTTTCTTTGCTTTGTTCTGTTAGAAATGTAACATAATTGACTGGTTGCTGATGACTCGATAAATAAAATAAGCTCCGCTGGACTGACCATGTTGTCCGGATGCCCAACCACCGTCTCCCAAAGCAGTTGCTCTACTCCAAACTCAAGAATGGAAAACGGAATGTTGGTGGAAAGGAAAAGAGATTTAAAGATGGGCTCAAAGCCAACCTCAAAAACTCTGGCATAGACACCGAGAACTGGGAAGCCCTGGCCCTTGAGCGCTCCAGCTGGAGGTCAGCTGTGACCAGCAGTGCTGTAGAATTCGAAGAGGCACGAATGGAGGGCGAAAGAGAGATATGTACCAAGAGGAAGGCGCATCAAGCCAACCCTGACCAGGACTGCCTTCCACCTGGAAAGCAATGCCCTCACTGTGGGAGAAGATGCAGATCAATAATAGGGCTCCACAGTCACCTACGGACCCACCAGAACACTGAACCTGGAAGACTATCCTACTCAGCCAACGAGGGATCGCCTAAGTAAAAAAAGGCACCTATGTAGCGAAGGACTCAGAACTGTGCCAAGTTTCATTGCTCTCGGTCCACAGGAAGTGGGTCAGGGGAAACCTTTAATGGACGCCCCTCATTAAGTCCTTAACATCTCTTTGTTTTGGACCTTGAAACAACATAAAGCCACTACAGGATCTCAGAGCAGAACCTGCAAGTGCAAAACTGAAAAGAGTTTGAGTTTGCAATAGACAGGTCTTAAGTATTTTTATAAGATGCTCAGAAACATCCAGTATAATTTCCTAAATCCGAGAAATGGCTGTCCCTGGTTCTATCGCACAGGTCACATCTAAGCAGCAAACCACGCAAACCGACTCGAAGCATTCCTCGTTTTCCACCCCATCTTAAATTCTAGCAAAACACAGGTTTCGGTTTGTATTTTTTTCTGTTCCTCCTAAGAGGTGCTCTGCCAAAAATAAATGAATACATAAATCAAAAAATGACATGTGACATGGGCCTCGGGCGTTTGGGGGCAGCGGGGCGGGGTTCGTGATGAGGACGTGGGATAAGCCAAGCAACGAAATCTACGGCACACATATGGAACTGCAATGCTATGACATCTCAAAGAAGCACTAGGATGCAAGCTTCTTTTGGGGGGGCCAGTGACGCACCTCTGGGAGCTTCCCTGTGCACATCTGTGAGCCATAGAGATCTGGCTGCAATGGACGTAAATAAAGAAAGAAAAGAAAGTTAAAACAGAATGCGGGACAACTGAGAAGGCGGGAAAAGTCAAGTGGAATCCAGTGGGTTGGAATGGAAAGGGAACTGGGAGGGGAAGGGACGTCATCCCATCGGAAATGTAGAGGCACCAAACAAAGTCGTAATTGACAGGTACAGGAAGACAGAAAGAAAAAGGAAACAGAGGGGCAAAAAACCACAATTAAGCCCAAAGTTTGGAAGCATCCATTCCCCATTTGAGTCGTGGTGGTTGGCATACTGGGGTCCTTTCCTTGGTGTGTTGGTTTGCTCATTAGGAAAATAATAATATTGCAAAGAACAAATGACCAATAATGGGCCGAAAAGATGGATGGCGAAGAAGGAACACCTTTCTCATGGGTTGTTGTGAGTTTTCCAGGGTGTATGGCCATGTTCCAGAAGCATTCTTTCCTGACATTTCAGCCACATCTATGGCAGGCATCCTCATAGGTTGAGGGATATGACAAAGATCCACCAAGAGGAAAGGTGTTCTTACCATATATCAAAGGAACCACTGACTACATATGGAAGCATTCTCTCCTGGCATTTTGCCCACATCTATGGCAGGCATCCTCATAGATTGAAGGATCTGACAAAGATCCACCCAGAGGAAAGGTGTTCTTACCATACATCAAAGGAATCACTGACCAAATATGGAAGCATTCTCTCCTGACATTTTGTCCACATCTATGGCAGGCATCCTCATAGATTGAGGGATCTGACAAAGATCCACCCAGAAAAAAGGTGTTCTTACCATACATCAAAGGAACCACTGACCCCATACGGAAACATTCTCTCCTGACTTTTTGCCCACATCTATGGCAGGCATCCTCATAGGTTGAGGGATCTGACAAAGATCCATCAAGAGGAAAGGTGTTCTTACCATATATCAAAGGAACCACTGACCGCATACGGAAGCATTCTTTCCTGACATTTTGCCCACATCTATGGCAGGCATCCTCATAGGTTGAGGGATCTGACAAAGATCCACCCAGAGGAAAGGAGTTCTTACCATACATCAAAGGAGCCACTGACTGCATACGGAAGCATTCTCTCCTGACATTTCGCCCACATCTATGGCAGGCATCCTCTAAGTTTGTGAGGTCTGTTGGAAACTAGGCAAGTGAGGTTTATATACCTGTGGAATAATGTCCAGGATGGGAGAAAGAACTCTTGTCTGCTTCTGGCAGGTGTAAATGTTACAATTGGCTGCCTTGATTAGCACTTACTGACCTAGCAGATTCAAGATCTGGCTTCTTACTGCCTCGGGGAATCTTTTGTTGGGAGGTGATTAGCTGGCCCTGAATGTTTTTTGTCTGGAATTCCCCTGTTTTGAGTGTTGTTCTTTATTTACTATCATGATTTTTAGAATTTTTAAATACTGGCAGCCAGATTTTGTTCATTGTCATGGTTTTTTCCTTCCTGTTGAAATTGTCCACATGCTTGTGAATTTCAAAGGCTTGGGAGAAATAACAAGAGTTCATTATTCCACAGATATATAAACCCCATTTTCCTAGTTTCCAACAGACCTCACAACCTCTGAGGATGCCTGCCACAGATGCAGGCAAAACATCAGGAGAGAATGCTTCTGGAACACGGCCATACAGCCCAAAAAACTCACAACAACCCAGTGATTCTGGCTATGAAAGCCTTCAACAATACCTTTCCCATGCTTCAACCATCTTGTAAATCCTGAACCAGATTCATGCAAACTATATAGTGCATTCCAACATATATGTATCTTAGGAAAGAGTGACCAATGGGGCTCGCTCCGGATTAGGGTTGCCACTTTTTAATAAATTTCTTTTGCAATGAAGCAACAAATAATTTTAACCATCTACACTGTAGAATGAATGCAGTTTGACACCACTTTACTGCCACAACTCACCGCTATGGGATCCTGGGAGTTGTAGTTTTAAAAGGTACTTAGCATTCACTACCAAAGACTGAGGGTGCCTCACCAAATTACAAATCCCAAGATTCCATAGCAATGAGCCATGACAGTTAAGGTGGTGTCAAACTGCATTCAATCTACAGTGCAGATGCACATAAAGTTTCTGAAAATCATGCAAACTCCACATGCTGTTGTTTTGCACCAAAAATAGTGTTTTCTTGCACAGGAAACAGCATTTCCCATATCAAAAATATCATTTCTATGCAAACCTATTATTTCCTGCACACAAAATGTCATTTTTCGTACACATCAACCATAAGTGAATTTTGTGCAGAATTAACTCCCAATTTCAGAACTTTTGGTACAGGAAATAATAATTCTGCATAGTGCACATGTACACAGCTGGGTGTCCCAAATTGCAACGATTCTTGTGAATTTAAGATTTTTGTCATGAGGGTTTTCCAACACGTAAAAGGTATGGGTTGCTGTGAGTTTTCCGGGCTGTATGGCCATGTTCCAGAAGCATTCTCTCCTGACATTATGCCCACATCAATCCAGAATTCTTGGCATTAGGGTTTCTCAACACGTAAAAAGTATGAGTTACTGTGAGTTTTCCAGGGTGTATGGCCATGTTCCAGAAGCATTCTCTCATGACATTTCACCCACATCTATTGCAGGCATCCTCAGAGGTTGTGAGGTCTGTTGGAAACTAGGCAAGTGGGGTTTATGTATCTGTGGAATAACCAGAGTGGGGAAAGAATTCTTGTCTGTTTGAGGCAAGTGTGAATGTTGCAATTGGACAGCTTGATTAGCATTGAATGGCCTTGCAGCTTCAAAGCCTGGCTGAAAATGAACAAAATCTGGCTATCAGTATTTTAAAAAACATCTAAAATTAGGATAGTAAATAAAGAACAACACTCAGAAAAATTGTGTCCAGACATGACACAATTAGGATCAGCTAACGCCTTCCAACAAAGGATTCCCCCAGGCAGGGTTTGAAGCTTCAAGGCTATCAATGCTAATCAAGGTGGCCAATTGTAACATTTAAACTTGCCTCCAACAGACAAGAGTTCTTTCTCCCACCCTGGACATCATTCCACAGATATATAAACCCCACTTGCCTAGTTTCCAACAGATCTACTACCTCTGAAGATTGCCATAGATGTGGGTGAAACGTCAGGAGAGAATGCTTCTGGAACATAGCCATACAGCCCGGAAAACTCACAGCAACCCAGTGATTCCAGCCCTGCTTCACGCAATGATGGAATGGAGTTTGAACATGCGCTGATGACAAAGGGCTCTGTGTCGTCCGATGTCAATGACCAAAAGCCAAAGCTTGGAGACAGACCATGCAGGCACCTTGGTTGCGCATTTGGGTGCAGCTCAGCTCAATGCAAGCAATGCAGCCAGAGCAACCAATGGCATTAAGGTTCAGAAGAAAATGTTGGGGAAAATATTTGTATGGCACTTCCAAACTTCTGAGAGGAAAAGAAAGAATGCCACCACTGAACACTTGTGGACAGTTTAGATAATGGACCTGGAATGAGTAGCAGAACCCCTCGATATGATATACTTACCAAATAACTTATCCAAAAATAGACCTAAGGTCAGGAAAGCCTGAGCTGAAAAGGCCCATCCCTAACCTTTTGAATCATCTGGATCTTTAGTTGACCACCATCAACAACTCCCTTGACATTCACCATGAATTATTGTTCATAAGATGGATCTATGCTGAATTAATGCACTTGGACAACACTTGAACTGCCTTGTCTCAATGTTATGGCAGTTATATGGAGACTAGGGCGTGGAACAATCGCTTCAAACTACAAGGAAGGAGATTCCATCTGAACATTAGGAAGAACTTCCTGATTGTGAGAGCCGTTCAGCAGTGGAACTCTCTGCCCCTGAGTGTGATAGAGGCTCCTTCTTTGGAAGCTTTTAAACAGAGGCTGGATGGCCATCTGTCAGGGGTGATTTGAATGCAATTTTCCTGCTTCTTGGCAGGAGGTTGGACTGGATGGCCCATGAGGTCTCTTCCAACTCTATGATTCTATATGGTCAATGTAGATTCATACAATGCCATTGAACTGCATTAAATAAGTCTACACTGACCTTGTAATGCAATCTGGAGCACAATCTCCAGAAGGAGGTTCTAGTTCAACCAAGGAAGATCTGAGTTTGTAAGACCCGAGCATGCATAAGGTGAAATTGAAATCGATGCAAAAATAACAAAATGAACCCCAATTGTTTTCAAAGTATACAACCAGATCCATCCATAGAGCATCCTCAAATGTCTTCCCATAGCAACAGCCTTACAAAACAATCAGTGGATTCACAATAGAATTCTTTAAAGTGTTGTTGTTATGTGCCTTCCTTCCATATATTGCTGGCCCGAGGCGAATTTATCACAGTAGATGCTGGATAAATGTAGTTTTTGCTTCTATGAGAGTTTGCATTACAATTTGGTGATTATCTTAAAACACTTTATTGGAGCGGGCACAGCCTATTCTCCTGTCAATTTAAATTCTATTTTTAAAAAAAATCCAGGGGAAATAAGAGAAAATCCCCTATGCCTATTTAAAAATCCCATATATGTGTCAATGCTGCTGAATGTATTATTATTATTAATAGCTAGTCTAGAAGGACGTTTTAGTATTTAAAGTATGCAAACATAGAATCCAAATACATAACTCCATGTGTTTCAGGTTGGATCTAAATTGTGTATAATGCAGTTTGGAACTGCGTTATATGGTCAATGTAGACCTATACAGGGGGAACCCCTGGTGGCGCAGTGAATTAAAGCGCTGAGCTGCTGAGCTTGTTGACCAAAAGGTCGCAGGTTCGATTCCGGGGAGTGGGATGAGCTTCTGCTGTCAGCCCTAGCTTATGCCAACCTAACAGTTCGAAAACATGCAAATGTGAGTAGATCAATAATTACCGCTCCGTTGGGAAGGTAACGGCGGTCCATGCAGTCATGCTGGCCACATGACCTTGGAGGTGTCTATGGACGACGCCGGCTTTTCGGCTTAGAAATGGAGATAAGCACCACACCCCAGAGTTAGGCATGACTGGACTTAAGGTCAGGGGACAACCTTTACCTTTTTTAGACCTATACAACTCAGTTCAATGTAGTTTTTTATTGGAGTCCTAAGCTACATTGGTTTCAAGCTGGCAAATACCTGTATATTTCTATTTTATTTTAAGTGGACTAGATGTATGTTGTATGTTGTACGTTGTGTTTGCACTGCCTGTTTTTGATAAGGCCAACTGGCTAATCAATTTATTTATTTTTTTGGTTGTGTCAGGAGCGACTTGAGAAACTGCAAGTCGCTTCTGGTGTGAGAGAATTGGCCGTCTGCAAGGACGTTGCCCAGGGGACGCCAGGATGATTTGATGTTTTTTTCATCCTTGTGGGAGGCTTCTCTCATGTCCCCACATGAGGAGCTGGAGCTGATAGAGGGAGCTCATCTGCCTCTCCCCGGATTCGAACCTGCGACCTGACGGTCTTCAGTCCTGCCGGCACAGGGCTTTAACCCACTGCGCCACCGAGGGCTCCAGCTAATCAGTAAAAAATGTTGCTGTTGTTGTTATTGTTGTTGTTGGAATCCCCAGTGGCGCAGTGGGTTAAACCTCTGTGCCGGCAGGACTGAAGACTGACAGGTCACAGCTTCGAATCCGGGTAGAGTGTGGATGAGCTCCCTCTGTCAGCTCTAGCTCCTCATGCAGGGACATGAAGGAAGCTTCCCACAAGGATGGTAACACATCTAAAACATCCAGGCATCCCCTGGGCAACGTCCTTGCAGACGGCCAATTCTCTCACACCAGAAGTGACTTGCAGTTTCTCAAGTCATTCCTGACATGACCAAACCAGTTTCTAAGGCAAGAGGGGAAACGTACTCATGATGGCCTGTCCGAAAGTGTGGATGAGCTCCCTCTGTCAGCTTTAGCTTCTCATAAAGGAAGCCTCCCACAAGGATGGTAACACTTCAAAAACATCTGGGCATCCCCTGGGCAACGTCCTTGCAAACGGCCAATTGTGTCACACCAGAAGCGACTTGCAGTTTCTCAAGTCACTCCTGATGCAAAAAAAATGCATTTTTAAATGGCTGCGAAAAAACAACTCAGATCAATAGAAGCTCATGACAAAATAAAAGCAACTTACGGTGAATTCCCCGGTGACCGCATCAAAGCCCACATGGATGGTGTGTTCAAAGTCCGAAGGGAGGGAGATCTCGGGACGTTCTTTCTCTTTCTTCTTGTTTGCTAAAAGGCGAAATGCAAATGTACACTTACTCATCCGCACTGCCATTGATTCATACATTTCACCATTACATTTATTCAAAGCAAGGGATACAAGAACAGGGAGAGATACATAAAACAGAGTTCAGAAGGCAGCATCCAAGAAAACACATATTGAAAAGACTCTCTCTCATTATTGTATCCTTCTTAAGGCAAAAAGGAAATAGCATCATTTTAGTAAAATGCAGTGCATAGTTCTTGATCCCATAGACTTCAGTAGAGCAAATGGAGAGTTTCATCTATGAAACTGAGAACAAACGGTTCTGGCCCAACTTACATGTCTGAACACATCTCCCCTTATGAACCATCTAGGACCTTGAGATCGTCCGGGGAGGCCCTGCTCTCATTACCGCCTTCGTCACAAATATGTTTGGTGGAGACGAGAGACAGAGCCTTCTCGGCTGTGGCCCCCTGGCTGTGGAACGCCCTCCCTATAGATCAGTGTTTCTCAACCTTCCTAATGCCGCAACCCCTTAATACAGTTCCTCATTTTGAGCTGACCCCCAACCATAAAATTATTTTTTTTGCTACTTCAAAAATGTAATTTGACTACTGTTATGAATTGTAATGTAAATACCTGAGATACACAATGTATTTTCATTCACTGGACCAAATTTGGCATAAATACCAGATACACCCAAATTTGAATACTGGTGGGGTTGGGGTGGATTGTTTTTCTCATTTGGGAGTTGTTGTTGCTGGGATTTATAGTTCACCTACCACCAAAGAGCATTCTGAACTTCACCAATGATGGAATTGAACCAGTCTTGGCACACAGAACATGACTAACATAAGATACTGGAAGGGTTTGGTGGGCATTGATCTTGAGTTTGGGAGTTGTAGTTCACCTACATCCAGAAGCGGTGTAAATTCAAACAATGATGGATCTGGACCAAACTTGGCACAAATACCCAAATGTGAACACTGGTGGAGTTTGGGGGAAATAGACCTTGATATCTGGGAGTTGTAGTTGCTGGGATTTATAGTTCACCTACAATCAAAGACCATTTTGAACCCCACCAACAATAGAATTGGGCCAAACTTCCTGCACAGAACCCCCATGACCAACAGAAAATACTGTTTTCTGATAGTCTTTGGCGACCCCTTTGAAACCCCCTTGCAACCCCCTCAGGTGTCCCAACCCCCAGGCTGAGAAACGTTGCCACCTCCCTTTTAACATTCAAAAAAAAAAGTCAAGACGTGGCTTTTTGAACAAGTGTTTCCAAATGCAGAGTAACTGATATAGGAAAATGAAATGACAACAATGACACCGAACAACATTTTTAACAATGCGACACTATGAATTTATATTTTACTAGCGGTCTCCTACCATGCGTTGCTGTACCCCAGTCTGGTGATCTGGAAAATAATGTAATGAGAAAGTGCTGGTTTCTAATATATGTAATTTCTTTATGCTTGTGGGTAAACGGTATTTCTTACTGTTTCTTTGCCAGTGTTGATGTGGAGATTGTCTGGTTTGCCTACTCTGGAACATGCAACAAATCATTGTCCTTCTTTAGGGATCCCTTTCAGATCTTTGATACTGCATCTGTCATATATCTATATGTATGTGTGTGAATTGCTGGATGGCCCTTTGTCAGTAGGGCATTGAGTATGTTTTCTTGCCCTGGTGAAGGGAGTTGGACTGGATGGCCTTAAGGCAGCATTTCTCAACCTGAGAAGTCAAGACCCCCGGGGGGGGGGGGTCACCAGGAGGGTGTTAGAAGGGTCACCAAAGACCACCAGAAAACACTGTATTTTCTGTTGGTCATGGGGGTTCTGTATAGAAAGTTTGGCCCAATTCTCTTGTTGGTGGGGTTCAGAATGCTCTTCGATTGTAGGTGAACTATAAATCCCAGCATATACAACCCCCAAATGTCAAGGTCTGTTTTCCTCAAACTCCACCAGTGTTCACACTTGAGCATGTTGAGTATTCATGCCAAGTTTGGATCAGATCCATCATTGTTTGAGTCCACAGTGCTCTCTAGATGTAGGTGAACTACAACTCCAAAACTCAAAGGTCAATGCCCACCAAACCCTCCTAGTGTTTCTGTTGGTCAGGGGTGTCCTGTGTGCCAAGTTTGGTTCAATTCCATTGTTGGTGGAGTTCAGAATGCTCTTTTATTATAGGTGAATTATAAATCCCAGCAACTACAACTCCCAAATGACAAAATCATAATTTTTTGAGTGATGGCAAAACATCAGGAGAAAATTATTATTATTATTATTATTATTATTATTATTATTATTATTACTTTGATAGAACTGCAAAGACTCTGGCACAAGCCAGTAAAGGTGGTCCCAGTGATGATCAGCACACTGGGTGCAGTGCCTAAAGACATTGGCCTGCACTTAAAAACAATTGGCACCAACAAAACTACCATCTGCCAGCTGCAGAAGGCCACCCTATTCGGATCTGCACATATTATTTGCCGATACATCACACAGTTCTAGACACTTGGGAAGTGTCCAACGTGCGATTCAATACAAAAGTTACCATCATAATTTTGTTTGCTGTGTGTGCTAATATTGTTATGTAACTTGAACTCTAACAAAACAAATAATTAATTCTCAATTTTTATATTCATATGTGTATGTCATTGTCATTTTTATTGCATTGTGTGAAGTCAACATCAGCCATTTGGAGAAAAGTAACATAAATTATTATTATTATTATTAATAATAATAATAATAATAATAATAATAATAATAATGGGAAGTGTTCGACTTGTGATTTTGTGATACGAAATCCAGTATATAGATCTCTTTTGCTGTGACATACTGTGCTTTTGTGTCAGTAAAATAATAATTAATTGTTTTATTTTGTATGCCTATTTATATCTCTAGCACCTCGAGAGAAATGCAAGCACAGTTTGCATCAAACTGATGGACTCTTGCTGCTTTTAGCAGCTCTTTTCTGCCATTGGAAAGAGCAAGGAAACCAGATGTGGAAAACGAGAGGCCACGTTTCCCTTTGGCGGTACTTTACTTTTGTCTCCGCCTGGAAAGATGGAGCGTAGCCGGGCCTTCTTGTTCTTCTCTTCGGGAGCCATAGGGAGAGGCTTGGAGCCGTGGTTCAGCGCAGAAGAATCGCGGTTGTTGCTGTTCATTCTCAGTGGAGGCGCTGGAGGTTTCTCTTCCGTGTCCAGGCTCTCTGACATCTTCAGCAACCCTCACAGCTTCCTGCACAAGATGGGAAGCAAGAGAGAAGTTTTAAGGAAGGCTGGAGATAGGAAAAACAGAAAAGCCAATGCAAGTTGGAAACATGGCATTGAAGACTCATCCCAGGTAATTCTTGCTGTGAACAATCCAATCAAAAAATACAAAGGTTGCAATAAAGCGAAGGTGGGTCAAAACCATTGCCTCCTGTGTCATTAAAACCTTACAAATGAACATATAACAGCAGAAATTTCTACAGATCATAGCTTTGTCACAGGCACAATTCAAAGTGCTGGCTTTAGCCTATAAAGCCCTAAACGGTTCCGGCCCAGCTTATCTGTCCGAACGCATCTCTTCCTATGTACCTTCTAGACCAGTGGTTTTCAACCTGGGGGTCGGGACCCCTAGAGAGGTCGTGAGGGGGTGTCATAGGGGTCGCCAAAGACCATCACAGACAGTACTTTCTGTTGGTCATGGGAGTTCTACGTGGGAAGTTTGGACTTATTCTATCATTGGTGAGCTTCAGAATGCTCTTTGATTATAGGTGAACTATAAATCCCATTAACTGCAACTTCCAAATGTCAAGGTCTATTTCCTCCAAACTCCATCTGTGTTCATATTTGGGCATATGGGGTATTTGTGCCAAGTTTGGTTCAGATCCATCATTGTTTGAATCTACAGTGCTCTCTGGATGTAGGTGAACTACAACTCTCAAACTCAAGGTCAATGCCCATCAAAACCTTCCAATATTCTCTGTCATCGGAGTGCCATGTTTGGTTCTCTGTCATCAGAGTGCCATGTTTGGTTCTATTCCATCACTGGTGGAGTTCAGAATGCTCTCTGATGTAGGTGAACTACAACTCCTAAACTCAAGGTCATTGCCCATCAAAACCTTCCAATATTCTCTGTCATTGGAGTGCCATGTTTGGTTCAATTCCAACATTGGTGGAGTTCAGAATGCTTGCTGGATGTAGGTGAACTACAACTCCCAAACTCAAGGTCAATGCCCACCAAACCCTTCCAGTATTTTCTGTTGGTCATGGGAGATCTGTGTGCCAAGTTTGGTCCAATTCCATCATTGGTAGAGTTCAGAATGCTCTTTGAATGTAGGTGAACTATAAATCCCAGCAACTACAACTCCCAAATGACAAAATCAATCTTCCCATCCCAACCTCACTAGAATTCAAATTGGGGTGTATTGGGTATTTGTGCCGAATTTGGTCCAGTGAATGAGAATACATCCTACATATCCGATATTTCCATAACGATTCAGAACAGTAGCAAAATTACAATTATGAAGTAGCAATGAAAATAATGTAATGGCTGGGGGTCACCACAACATGAGGAACTGTATTAAGGGGCCGTGGCATTAGGAACGTTGAGAACCACTGTTCTAGACATTTAAGATCGTCTGGGGAGGCCCTGCTCTCGATCCCACCTGCCTCACAGACGCGTCTAGCAGGGATGAGAGGCAGGGCCTTCTCAGTGGTGGCCCGTCAGCTGCGGAACTCCCTGCCCAGGGATATTAGATTTGCTCCCTCCCTCCTGACTTTTTGAAAAAGAGTGAAAACATGGATCTTTGAACAGGCATTTGAAACTTCAGCTTGATCAAATAAATACAACTGGAATATGAATATGGAACGGCTAAAGATGATGTAAACGGATGAGGAATTGGATTAGAAAACACTGTTTTTATAGACTTTTATAGTTTTTATATGTATTAGGATGTGATCTAATTGTTTTAACCGACATATACTGCATCTAATTGTTAGGAGCCCCCGGCGGTGGAGTGGGTTAAACCCCTGTGCTGGCAGGACTGAAGACCGACAAGTCGCAGGTTCGAATCTGGGGAGAGCGTGGATGAGCTCCCTCTATCAGCTCCAGCTCCTCATACGGGAACATGAGAGAAGCCTCCCACAAGGATGGTAAAAACATCAAAACATCCAGGCATCCCCTGGGCAACGTCCTTGCAGACCGCCAATTCTTTCACACCAGAAGCAACTTGCAGTTGCTCAAGTGAAAAAAGACACAACCAAAAAAAAATCTAATTGTTGCCAGTCTGTATTCCACCCTGAGTCGACTTCAGGCTGAAATGGGCGGGATAAAATGATGTTAGTTAATTAATTAAGTAACTAACTAACTGTCCTCTACACAAAACTACCATTCAACACAGTCATCAATTTGTACATATTTGCACCATCCTTTAACCCAGGCATCAAAACCTTTTTGGAAAAATTCAGAGTTTTGCTTCATTACCCATGATTTTAAAGCTGTTTCAACATAATTCATTGAACCTGTAACCACGTAGGTTTTCTTTCAGAGGTTCAAACAGGTAAAAGTCAGAAGGGGCCAAAGCAGGGCTTCTTTGGTCATGGGGGTTCTGTGTGCCAAATGTGGTCCAGGTCCACTGTCGGTGCGAGTCACAGTGCTCTGACTTGACATAGGATGAATTTCCATCATGTGGAGTCAATCCCCCCAAACCTCTCCGGTATATTTAGTTGCTGGTTAGTTCTGCTCTGTTTGTTGTGCAGACAAAGTTGAAAAGAGTAAGAAAGGCAGTCGGCGGGATCATGCAAATTCCACACCAATGGAAAGAGTAAGAAACACTGGGATGCCTATGGTGGAGGAAACACATCAAATCTAGGAAGAAATGGTCTCCAAATGAAAGCATTCATTGGGTGGTGGGCAATATGGTGTTTGGGGAGGACATTGGCAGGGGTTGGGCAACATGTTCATGGCACTCACTATAACGTGAAATGTCATTGGAGGGAGGGCTTTTGGTGACTCCTCAGCACTGTGGGTTAAAGCTGTTTGTGGAAGTGGGAGCCTGTCTGTGGAAGTGGGCACTCCAGCCACATGCACACACATATATTTTCATTTTTATTCGGTATACAGATGTAGATAGATGTGAATCTTTTGAGTGAAACTTTGCTGAAACATGCTGAAATCTAATTCATTTTGGGAGTGTGGAAATATATCTCCGTTCCTCCAAAGTTATCTTTGCCTTTGATACCAGTTTTTATGTTAAAGAAGTCATCATGCTTAAGCATACCTCCATGTTGTTAAGTGGGGTATACCTGTATAAGACCCCTGGTGGCACAGCGGATTAAACTGCTGAGCTGCTGAACTTGCTGACCGAAAGGTCAGTGGTTCAAATCTGGGGAGTGGGGTGAGCTCCTGCTTCTGCCAACATAATAATAATAATAATAATAATAATAATAATAATCTTTATTTATACTCCGCCACCATCTCCCCAAAGGGGACTCAGAGTGGCTTACATGAGGCCAAGCCCAGCGATACATTACAGCAAAATAAAACATAAACAACAAAAATAACATTATAGTAAAAAAAATAAGCTAATCAAGTAAAATAAACAGTGCAAAATAACAATGGAAAATCAAACCCAGTGGGCATCCCAAATGCATGACATAAAATGATAAAACTCTGGATGAGATAGCAATGAAAGAGGTATATTTGTGGAGGAGTTCAAAAACCTAGCATGCAAATGTGAGTAGAGCAATAGGTACCATTTCTGCTGCAAGATAACGGTGCTCCATACAATCATGCCGGCCACAAAAAAGTGGGTGTTAGAAACAACATCATACGAAAGCTGACTGGCACAACCTGAGGATCACAACCAGACACAGTGAAGACATCTGCCCTTGCGCTATGCTACTCTGCTGCTGAGTATGCATGCCCAGTGTGGAACACATCTCACCACACTAAAACAGTAGATGTGGCTCTTAATGAGACATGCCGCATTATCACAGGGTGTCTGCGCACCACACCACTGGAGAAATTACAATGCTTAGCCGGTATTGCACCACCTGACATCTGCCGGGAAGTAGCAGCCAATAGTGAAAGGACCAAGGCAGAGACATCTCCAGCCCATCCCGTTTGGGTATCAGCCAGCACGTCAACGACTTAAATCAAGACTTAGCTTTCTTAGATCTACAGAGACACTCGCTGGAACACCTCAGCAAGTGAGAGTCCAAAAGTGGCAGGCCCAAACCCAGCACCTCAATCCGTGGGTGATACCAGATGAGAGACTCCCCCCTAGTCACACAGAAAACTGGGCGACTTGGAAGGCGCTGAATAGACTGCGCTCTGGCACCACGAGATGCAGAGCCAATCTTAAGAAATGGGGCTACAAGGTGGAATCCATGGCATGCGAGTGCGGTGAAGAACAAACCACTGACCACCTGCTGCAATGCAACCTGAGCCCCGCCACATGCACAATGGAGGACCTTCTTGCGGCAACACCAGAGGCACTCCAAGTGGCCAGATACTGTTCAAAGGACATTTAACCAACTACCAAGTTTGCAAAATCTGTGTTTTGTTTTTGTTTTTTTAAATCTCTGTGTTTGTTTTGTTCTGTTAGAAATGTAATACAATGGTATGGTTGCTGATGACATGATAAATAAAATGCCGGCCACATGACCTTGGAGGTGTCTATGGACAATGCCAGCTCTTCAGTTTAGAAATTGAGATGTGCACCAATCCTCAGAGTTGGACACGACTAGACTTAATGTCAGGGGAACCTTTACCTTTACCTACCATTATTTTCATCCAATGTCTGACCATTGGGCAACAACTTAGGAAATCGAAGTCTAATTCCTCAGAAAATTAGGGTCACCATATGTCAGAAATGACCAAAAGGCACACAGCAATAATTACGTCACTTCAAAGGCCCTAATAGGCTGAAGAGTGAGGCAAAAAAGGTTTCAATAAAATATGCATAAATGCACCAGCTTCCCTTGCATTATCCTTTCCTCTCCCTATAACATGAAGTTTGATCTGCCTGGGATGCGAGACTGACTTAGCCATTTCTCAAAGCACCACTTGGCAATGTGCCTCTATGGGTCAATGGAAGGACTGAGGGGACCAAGATAACCCAGTAATAAAAGGAGGCCAATTTGGGTGTGCTGGCCTTAAGCGTGCAGTTTGGCCCTTTTGCAAACATGTTAATTAAACCTCCTTCTGATTTTAATTATGCCAAAGGTTGCCATAATTAGACATTCTAA